TTCAGAAGCTCTTCGAGCCTCGAAATCTCCACCTCCCTCTGCTTGGCCACATCCTCGACCTCGCGCTTCTCCTGAGGTGATCTCTCATACCAGACAATACACTCACGGGTTCCCTACCGCTTCAAGCTCCCGAATGGTGGCCAGATACTTTTCTCCCTGCTCCCCAGAGGACGTCTAATCTCAAAACCGTTCTTCTATTCAGCAACGCAAGCTTCGCCTCACCCGTGCTTCCTCTACTCTCGCCTCTACTGAGGCCTTCGTCTCCTCCAGCTCTGCAGTGAGCCTGGAGATCTCATCCTGAGCTGCCTCGAGCTGTTGTTTCAGACTGGCTGAAATCACAAGTAATGAAGAGCCGTCGAGAGAAACTTCTTCCCAACCAATGAGTTCCTGTGCAGCCCGTGCTTCCCTGTGCAGCTCCGCGACTTCTTCACGGAGAGCTCCATCAATTTCAGTTTGGTTCTGACGCAGAGCCTTACAACTTTCAACCGAGTTCACCAACGAGTCACCCTGAGAGCCTCTATCTCCCCTCGGGCTTCATCGAGCTGGGCACGTCGCTCCTCCTGGCTGATAGCCCATGCCTTCTGCTCAGCTTCCAGCTTACCTAACGATGAACGCTCGTCATTGCCACTACTGCGGTCGATTGCATCGGTACTCATCGCATCTCGCAGGGTCTCTAGAGCCAGTTCCTTCTCCTCCATTGCAAATCGTAAGTCGTTAGTGCTCCTCTCAAGATCCTGAGATGAACCAGCTCAGTCCACCCGCACCATAGAGGACAAAATGGCTACTTCCTTTTCATCTTCTTTACGTTGTACGTCTGTATGCAATTTGTCAACCGTCTCCTGCAGGCTTGTAATTTCGCCCAACCTTGCCTCTGAGCGCTATCGCACTAGATGAAGTAGGTTGTAAAAGATCCCACCTGCAAGCGTGGTCGCCTCCGCCATCTTGCCTTCCATCTCGGCCATGGCTTCAGTGAGGCGTGTGCATTCCTAAAAACAAGTCAAGACTCTCCGGCGGGGTCGAGAGGCACATTGACTAAGGCTGAACCGGCTGACCTGGGACAGCTCTGATTCCCGATTTCCATCAGACGTTATGGTCTCCTTCAAAGACCTCTCCAGCTCATTGCATTTCTCCTGAGTAAAGCTGTGTTACTTGCAGGAATATCCCGGCCCACCTTAGAGCTCTCTAGTGCGGCCGTTCCTTCTTCCACTCTCGTCGCCATCTGCTCCAGTTGAGCCCTCAAAATGACCAACTCCTGTTCGGCCTCGCCTGAACGCCCACATGCACTTGTCTTCTCCATTGGCATCATTCGTTACGTGTGGCGACCTCGGCGGCCTGCCTGCCCGTCTCAGCTTCCTTCACGCATACCTCCTGCTTCCACATATCCTAAGCCCGAGGTAATCGCCCGAAACCAAAACAGCAGAGGACTCGACCCTCGACAGCCTCACATCAGCCAAGGTCGACTTCGCCATCTCCAACTCCTTCACCCTCTCCACCAGCTCATTATTTTCAGTCTGGAGATTTTCCAGCTGACCTTTTGCATCATCTGCCACAACGATCTTTCGATCCCATTCAGTATTCTGCTGGACTCACTGAGCTGCGAGGTCAAAGCCTCTCCATCAGTCGCAGTTCCCTCAAACGCCTCTATGCGTTCTCCCATAGCTGTGTTTTCTTGCAACAATTGAGCCTTAAAACCTCACATAAATACCGGTCGGTGAGAAGCCTACCTTCTCAGTTTCAATCCGCTTGAAGATCGTCTCGAGCTCCAACACCTTCCTCTCAGCCTCCTCCATCCGAACCAGTGACTGAGAAAGCCTTCGACTGCTAGATGCCAGTGACCCCCCCGTGGTTCAATACAACATGGCCGAAGCAACGACGCTATAAAGCACTCCTGGCGTGGTCCATCAGTAGACTTTCATTTGTACAGGACCAGACCCCCCACCTCGCCTCACCTGTTGTAGATCCTCGGATGTCTTCCGTGCACGGTCTTCCATCGTAGTCTGTATGCACCAACGATCACAAGTCTCCTGAATGAGCATCCCTCACCTGCTCAGTCTTCGCCATGGACAGCTCCTGCCTCGCCTCACTAAGCAGACCTATATGTTCTTCTAGCCTTTCCTCTGCGGTCGACTATAAACACATTACAATCAGCGAATTTCACAGACGGCAGAAAATCTCACTAAGGCAGTGCCTCTCATCTCTAGCTCTTCCTGCACCGCCTCCAGCCGGGCAGATATCTCCGCAATCTTCTCCTCCAACTCCCCCTCCCGGTCACCAAATTTCCTTCTGAGCTCCTCCGCTTCCCTCTCAAGTTCACCTAACCCAAATCGCGCGTTACATTCCTTTCCAAGCAGCAACCACATCCGTCTACACGACCACTCGGAGGTTCAGGACCACCCATGGAATTACTTTCTCTCTCCTCAGCCCTCCCTCCGGCGTCCTCTGCAACTTCTAAGTCTCGTATCTGCTCAATTCAATAACCACACACTTCGGGAATTAATCACCTTAGCTTGTAGTGCATCTATAGTAGCAGACATAGCAGCAACCTTCTCACGATGGGCTTCTGCCATGCCTTCGGCCACTCGGGCATGTTCCTGCCAAGACCTGTCCACCAACCAACTCTGCACAACTTCCTACCTCCTCAAGCTTGGTTCGCATCGACTCCATCATACCATCACTTTCCTCCTTAGCGCGTTCCACGACCTCCTGGACATTTTTAAGTTGTTCCTTCGCCTCCTCCAAACGACCTCTCATATCCTCAACCTCCTTCTCAAGTGCCGCCTAAGGAGCCAAGCTCTCGGTTATAGCCCGACACACGTACCATCACTTTTTCGCTTTTAAGTCTCTGCTTTTCCTTCGCTATTTCAGCCATACACTCCGAGCTCTCGCTGGCTTCCTTTTCCTGCATCCAGTTCCATTATAGAGGAGACTCCAACCTACATGCCGGGTGATTTCCATCCGAGCCTCCTCCAGTAACGCCTTCAACTTGTCAGTCTCTTCCACCACTCTCTTCACCTCCAGACGATTGGACTCCTCCTCCGCTGCATACCCTAAGGATAATCGCATCTGCTCAACATGGCCTTTTCAAAAGCCCCCTCACCCTTAAGCTGGACTTCCAAACCTTTTACTCTCGCCACCAGCCCATCCCTCTCACTTTTTAGAGCCTCTGCACGCATCTGAAATGTGGAAGCTCTCCACTATGGCAAAGCGTTCTCCGCCCAGAGATGAGGACTCGTGCCACCGTCAAAACCCATCGAGCCTCTCACCTTGCCCTCCTCCTCAGCGACTTCAAGTTCTTTTCGGAGCTTAGCCGTTTCTTTCCCTAGCGTTTCCACTAACTTCGTCTGCTGTACCTAAAGTGATCGGAGGCCTAGACAATCCAACACAGGCTGAGTTGCTGCAGCTCGAAAGAGGCCCATCGTAAACCCCACCTCCGCCTCATTTTTCGAGACGAGCTCTTCGGTCAGCTTGGTTTCCCTAGCCTGCGATCCCTCAGCGGCCTTGCGGAGCTCCTAAGAAACCCGTCACAGCTCTAGTAGTAGTTACTCTCAATCACACCTCGTTGGCCTCCACCAGACCCCTCATCTCCGCTCGGACCCTCTCAAGCTCCTCATCCACCACTGCCTTCTCAGCACTCAAGCTCTGAGGCCAAGGACCCATGCAGGAGGTAGGGTTCCGGAATGTCCCCATCCTTTTCTCATACAGGGGCTCAGCCCACGATACCTCATTCATGCGAAGATATCGATTCCGCTCCTCCTCCAGCTCGGTCAACTGCAACAGCATCGTCTCGTCCTGCACGGGAGGCCCCTACAAGCCACCATCCCCCCACATGAGCCCGACTGTGCCTCACTTCCGTCATGTCCCCGCCTGCTCTCCCGGCAGCATCCCTTTCGAGGTATCCATCTTCAGCTTCCCCTATCAAAAACCAACTGGGAGGAAGTACGGTGTCCTCACAAAAGTACTCAGCTGTAGCTCCAGCTCCTCGACCCTAGCGCGTAGCTCTGCCGCCTCAAAGGTGCCGTCAGGGAGCTGCAGAAAGGACGATCCACAGCGGGCAGGTCCCACCCTTAACTAACCTCGGCCTCCCCCGAGCTGAACTCTTCCGTCGTTCCGGCCCGGCCCTGTAGCGGCGATGAAATGAGTAGCAAAGTCCCATTCTAACGCTACCTCGTTCCTCTCGAGCATAGACTGGAACTGGGCCACCCTAGCAGCGGCCTCCTCCAGCCGAGCCTGTAACGACGCTGTTCGCGCCTTCTCAGCTGTCAGCTCAGACACGATAGCGGAGTCGCCTGAAGAGGTACATAAACAATAACCTCATGTTATGATACCAATGGCCGTCTCCTGCATCTCCCTCAGCCTATCATCCCGATCCCGAAGGGCTTTCGATGCACGTTCGCATTCAACTCGCAGTCCCGCCTGAGTACGCAGCCCTAGCATGGGCCAAACCCCACCTCTCCCACCTTATCCGCTTCCAGCTGATCCCTAGTCGCCTTCAGCAGCACTATCTCCTCCTCAAGCGCAATCTGGGTAGTTCTGGGCGCCTCGACATGGGGGATCTGAATGGGACTTGAACCCCCATCGCAGCATGGCCTTCCTGACCTTCTCTGGTACTTGACCAGCGTGCCTCCTCCAAGCCTGCAATGCTGCCCGGCCCCTCGCCAAGCGTCGGTTCCTCCTACCCAGACTCCCACCTCGGTGGACCTCACTAGCATCACAGCTCTACCTTATCCTCGCCTCGGCCACGACCCTCTTGGTGATAGCTTGGCGAGTGAACACGGACCAGCAGCGAACAACAGCAGAGGAAACTGTATCTGGGAAGCTCCGTCCCTAGCAACACGAGAAGAGCTCACTACGTTTCTGTCTGAGGATCCACCCCTTGAGAAGCATCTTAGTTTGAGGCTGTCTATAATGGCGAGTGTGGCTCTGCTTGAGCATAGCGTCTAGCTTGTAGACCTGCACACTACCCCTACGGCGGCTGGCCTACAGCAATCATACCGTCCGCTCGAGCTGCTCGCTCTTGGCCTTGTGACGACCAGCATCCTTCTTGGCTCGGATCATATCAGCTACTACTACATCAGTAGCAGCAATACTCCTACGGAGCAATGCCTTAGTCTGGACCTAGCAGATCAGCACCAATAACCGACCGCCTTCCCTCAGGGCAGGCCCCTAACCCTGGGAGTGGAGACACCTACGCAGTATCCCTCAGTGGCTTGCTTTAATCTCTCCGAATCCTCGACAGACTTCCTCCCTCCCCCTCCTCCTGCACTGTGTCTGATGTTGTCAAGCCTCTTCAGACCAGCCACCAGTCCCGTAAACGATTCTTCCAGGGTCTGTCACTATTTTGTCTCTCCAACTCCACCGTTGTGGGATAATATGCACATGGTCAACTACATTTGTTGGTGGCAAAATAAAATTCCAAGGAAATTCTCGGAGGTTTTCATTGGCTCATGTATACTTCTATCCGAATTCATGTGTAAACTTCTAGGAAACGCCTGAGCTCAGCTGAGGAAAGCGAAATTATTTCCCACTGAACTTCACACTGAGTCTCCAAGCCCTGCCTGTAGTCTCTCCTTAGCCTTCTGCCCTCCAAAGCGGTCCTCGCCGTCCACAACCTTCCCCTCCCCTTCAGAGTCGGTCCAGGCCTCCGCCTCCAAACGATATCTACACCATCAAATCCTCCTCCTGCCCTACCCCTCACCCCTCACCTCGCGCTCTCTACGATCTCCTGGTTGGTTAACTCCAAGTCCCTTGCTGTCTTCGCAGCAGAGACACGAAGGGTCGCCAAGTTCCGCTCCAGTAACTACCACTCCCTCGACCATGGACATCTCACTCACACACAGGACACACCTTGATCTTCCGCAGAGCCTCATCCCTCTCGTTACGGACACTAGCAGCTCCCTGCATCAATTCCCACTGTCGAGCCTACCACTACTTCCCTAAGATGCCTACGTTGACCATCGAGTGAGCTCGGTTTTCGTCATTGGGATCGAGGACCTCCCGAGAGATGCTCCCTGATGCTTCCGATGTCATAGTCAGATTGATCGCGGTGAATTCGGAGGTTCCCATCGAACAGATTAATTGACCAAGCAAGACTAAAGTCACGGAAAAGTCCTCCCACTAGACTAAGGATGGAAATGCTATGGAAGGTAGAGCGAATTGTGTGCTAACCTTAATCCAACTTAGTGACAGGCCTCTTGTAAGGCTTCTTCTCATTGGCACCAACAACCCAGTCTAATTGCATCACGACGAGGAACGATACTAGCTTTAGCAGGCTCGCACCGAGCGCTTGGAAGACCCCATGCAGGAGGGAGTTCGGTGGGGTCATACCTGCGTATAAGTACACAAGAAAAGCGGAGGAAATAGTCAGCCCCCTACCTGCCGAGATCTGCGACAAGCCTAAACCTTCAAAGCCGCACCAAATATTGAAGTCCCCTCTAGACACCTAACGAGGCGAGATGCCCGTAGTGATAAAGTTACCAGGCCTAGCCTACTCCGTGTACAAGCGCCTCTGCTACGGTGTCTGGCTCTACTAAGCCGCTCGTCGACGAGATGAGCTTGGTGATCTCAGGCTTCCGAGTATTCTCATGTTCGAAGCCTGGCGTTCTCGTGTCTGGTGGGTATACTATAGATACCTAACCATTCAGCTACGCTCCGCCTCCTTTAGTGTTATCCTACAGAGGTCTACCCTTACTCACCTGCACATTGTGGACCTCAGTCTCCTGCCTGAGGGTCTCGGCATACCCTCGGATGGCGAATTTAGATCCAGAGTAGCTGAACAGTGAGCGCTCATTGATATAACCTCCTATCTCCCCCACCCACCTCGCAAGGCCATATACTCCTATTTGGGCAGCCTGACTGCTCACAAACGCGATGCGACCCCGACCCTTTTCTTTCATGGACGGCAGCACTTTGCGTGCCATGAACACGGAACCTGAAGAGAATCATTGCAAGGCGGCTTACCAACTCTCCGACTCGAATACGATGCTCGATAACCGACCAAGGTAGTTGACATTGAGCTCAGCCATGATGTCTTTGACTGTGGTCTCCTCCGCCAGACCCGGAAGGGACATCCCAGCACAGTTGATGAGCCAATCTATCTCATCAGCATCTATGTCCTTCACAAACCTGATCAGAGTGCTCAGGCGTCGACACACGATCTAAACGTGAAGTACATTTGATCCACCTTTTTCGGATCAGTGATGTCACAGCTCACCAGAGCCACATCGCATGCCGGGTTTACTTCCCTTATCTCCTTCGCGGCCTTCTCCAGAACCTCCATCCGCCGAGCTGACACGCACAAGCTCAGTCGCGAATTTCCTTTCAGATAACAAAGACGGGGCATACTACCAATAATGGTGACTCGCTTCGCTCCGTCAGCAGCACATCGTTTCGCCACTGCCAAGCCTATTCCGCTGCTTCCTCCTGGTATGCACACATGAAGACCCTCCACTGATTGGTACCTACACACTACCAGGCTGCTCCCCAGTTGACGACCCCAAGCACTACTTTCCGCGCTTGAAGATGTAGCTAATCAGAGTGATGAGGAGTATGAGGCCTCCAAAGCCGTAGAGCCAGTCGGTCCACATGAGAACAACAATGTCGAATACTCACTCAACTACGGCAAGTGACCACTTAGAATCCTCAAAGTGACAACGTAGTAGTACTACGGTAGTACTAGTATATTATTAACGATATACCATTTAAAACAGTAGATATTGCTTACAAACGTAGGATAGATATTACTACATAGGGATACTGTTTACAATATAATATAATTAGTAATTACATATATAATACCGTTATATTGATATTAATACAATATAATATTATCTATAAAAAATTGGTTTAATGACATTAAACCAGCCATATTGTTATTATATTATGATGAATACCATAACAAGCCTTCAACACCGCCTACACAACTCTACGATTGTGATCACTCTATCGTCCAATAGTTGTGTGCTGTGGAATCCGTCTGCCCAATCTGTCCCTCCTAGCTATGGCTAGTAGGAGGTTGTACTGTTGCTGTTGTATTCATTCCTCCATTTCTCCACGTAGTAACGCTCTGGCTAGTGTTATAAGGCAATGTCAACAGGATCTGTGGTGTCGAACAGCAGCCCAATGGGTGATCAATTGCACATACTAAACGCAGACACCGGACTAAGGAAAACATGAAGCTGTCGATACCAATTAAGATTCACTATGATAAAAAGTAAGGATCGCATACTGCAATGATGATAAACTACGAGCCGACGGCACCAACACGAGTAAGGCCGTCACGCTTTGAGGGAGGGAAAGGGCTTCCCCGCAGGATACTGCAGCCAGTTCTCTTTAGACCAGGTGATGCCAGCCTCGGGACCCTCGACGAGATGAAGCTGGTATCTGGCAAATCCCATCACTATTCAACTAGGAGTACCAAAACTCACGTATGCCTCTGTTTGGGCGACGTATTAGGTAAGGAGAGATGATCGACCGTACCTACCACCGTACTCATATTAGCAGCGACATCAATGACCTTCAATACCAGGGAAGACCACTAGATCCCCTGCATCGACCTCAACCGGTATGAACCCTTTCGCTTCAAGACCATCTCTATCGTTGGCTGGCAGCTCTCCTTCCCATGCTACTGCAGGAGATGCTAAACAGTTCACAGTGATCCTCAGGGGCACCATGACTTCTGTTGCTACCTTTGCTGTCCATGTTGATATCTTTAAAGTGGGGATCGCCTCCCTCGTGGGTCCTAGCAAACAATCGCCTTAAAGGCTCCTTGTGACTTCCTGGTCTGACCCAAAGGCAGCCATTCTACGATGAGGACAGATTACCGTAGTACAGAGGAAGCCAGTGTTACCTCTAGAGTGGCTGGGTCCAAGGCTAACCACATGCCCAGACAGGTCTGTCTCGGCGTAGTGTGGAGAAATGAGGAATCCTGATGGCTAGTCACTGCGCCACCAATCAATGGTTGCTTGAAGATGTACCTGTCGTGCTCTAACAGAGTTACTACCCAGATGAGGACATACATAGATTGTGGCAGAACAGGATCCTGATAGCCGAGATCGCGAACCATCTCCAACACTTTACGGGAATTGCTATACCTACCTCGAAAGGTCCTCAGTGGGTCACTCGAGTCAGCTTACTTGTGAAAAACAGGGTCATCAACGTGCAAAGAATGCCCTACTTTATTCACCAGCTCCGACTTCGGAATGTCCGACCTTATCTGAGCTTATATAGCTCATGGGAGAAGTGGCATCTGCTATTCACCTTGCCATTTTCGTTGACCGCGCCTGGCTCCAAAAAGAATCTTATATGATCCGCACTACCAAGGAAGTACCTACAATTCCCCTTAGGAAACCACTTCAAACCCACCTCGCAGAATCGAAAAATAGAGCCGCGGAATACCAACAGAGGTACTACTCGTTGTTAACATGCTGGTCCCTCCCTGTAGTGAAGACGCTATCCACGCTGTCCTCAGGATCCCAACCCTCCAGCAGCTTGGCCATCTCCTCCTTCATCTCCTGCACCTGGGTTAGACAAGAATATACTCCTCCCAGATCGAGCAAAAGGCGACTACCTCTTCTGCTGTTGCAAAAGCCTTTCTAACGAGGAAACCATTGTCATTGAAGGAGGCTAGTTCTTGGGGACTAAGAGACATTTATGGGCGGAAGTCAACTACAACATCGCCCTTCCGAGACTCATGTTACTTCTCCGAATGCACTCCACTAAGAGCTGCACCCACAAAGGAGAGCGGCCTTGTTACGTAGGACGGGTCGCTATTGAGTAAATTCCTGATTTTTGAACCACTACTAGGGATTGTGTGCTAAGGGCTGAACACTATGAAAGAACCTGGTGGTTGTGAGTATTAGGAAATGCGAAAATCGTGGGTCTAGGCTGGCTTGTCTCAGGTAGATAGATTTTGGGAGGTGTTAAATCAACACTTGTTGATCACGATGTTCTCGTTGGATACTTGATCACCCGCAGTATTTTGGCCATATTTCTGCTTTGTGACAATGTGTGGTGAAACGCTTGTCCCTCGTAGATGATGAAATTGCCTCAGTCATGCTCGCTCTATCTCTCAGAGCCTTTGCCTTCGATCTTGAAGAGTTTGTATAATTATGTCACAATAGCTCGACGTTACGTATATGTTCGAGAACCTGAGGGTCATGTCTCAGAGGATAACAATGACACACCGTCCTTGTTTTGTCCATTACGAATCAATCAATGGCGAGATGTGGTGAGGAAGGCTCAAGCTTCGAATATCACAGAGTTGCCAACCGCAACTTGCAACAGACCATCGTGATCCGGTAACATTGTGGCTGAGGCGTGATTTGTCATTGGCTAGACATTCGCTAATCTATAGATTCTAATTTATTGAATACTGGGCAAGTCTCATTACCGACCTCATGGGCTGACGCCGATCGCTGTTCCCACGTATCCGCGGTGACATTATCCCCATATCAGCTGTGCAGATCCTCACTCCAGAGCTTACGACTTGCGATAAGAACCATAATCAGACTTCGATCAGACTCAGAGTCTGATTATCAGAGCAAGTCATAATGATCAACAGTCACAAGTAGTAAAGTTGAGCAACCGATTAGGTGTGTAATAGACAAGATGAATGACAAATCGAATGCGAATCTCACACTGACCAATGCCAAAAAAGGACTGCGCAACTGTTTAGGGCGAGCGAGAGTGTTCCGTGATTATTGAACATTTCCCCTGGACGAGTTATAATGTGGCTGGGATGCTCAACGGGTTACCTTTACAAGAGCTCTTAGGTCCACCTCTCATAAGAAGAGAGTCCAATTCTGGAAATCCCCTCAGCTCGGAACCAACGGGTAAAAATCGCGCAGATTACGGTATCTTGCAATCTTGCTAAATCTTGATCTCCCTTATTTG